AAGAAAGGGTTGTGTCTGGTTTGGGATCTGGAAGGCAGCACACACTGGTGTGCACTGCCAATGTTTACTGAGCAGCCAGAGCACTGCTGCTTTTGAACGAGCCCCAGAGCAGATTCAGGTTGCAGTTTAAGATGCTCTGCCAGGCGAGCTGCACCTCATGACCCCGCAGAGCCAATGCTGGTTAAGTTGTCTTGGAGGTAGGCATGCGCTGTGACACTCCCAGAAGACCTGAGTAGGAAAATGCCTGTATCCCACTATCACTTGGCACAAGGTCATGTCTTCCTCCGAAGGTAAGAATATCTTTTTGAGATGTAGCTTCTGGCAGGCCACTGGGCCCTGGAAGAGACTGCACACCTGTCTATGAGACACCAAGTAACTGCAACCCAAGCTCTTGGTCATAAACCGGTGTCAGCTGTTCTCGGTCTACCCTTCCAGGCCTGCTCATGGGCAACACTGCATCGTCAAGAGAAAGGGAGATGGCATCAGGAGTGACATCTATTTTGTAGCGTAGCTGCCTCTGCTTCATGCTACACCTGAGTTCTCACGGTGGATCCATTCCTTGTGCTCAGTTGATGGAGGAAGAAGGAACTCTGGCCTGACCCCAAGTGGAAGTAGCTGGTTGCAGCTCCAAAGATATTCCGTAGCAGGCATTGCAGGACGCAGATGCTTCTAGAAGAGGGAATTCTAAGTACCACTCAGAAGGTGGTCCATTTCACTGAGATGGAGACAGAGGTCTAGAAATGTGGCCCCATACCTATGCATGAAATTGGTGGTTTGCCTGGATGCTCAGGAAAATGTAAGAGCAAGACTAGAAGGTTGGAAACAAGTGTACACATGGGAGGGAACATGTGGGTGGCATTTTAACAATAAACACAGGATGGGAAGATGATCTGGTCCAGCAGAGGAGACCACTGTCTGTGACTATTGGACATGATGCTCTGTTTTGGAGATGTCAGGCATTCTCTTCCTCTAGCCACCCTTGTGCTCAGTCAGTTGCTCAGCCACAGACTGTCTCCATGGTTCTGAGTTACAGGTTGCAAATAGACATAACATGGCCTTCTTCTCATCAAAACTGATTTAAAGTTCCTGATGTGACCCCATTCACCACAGAAACCTGCCATCCCGATGACAGATAGGCTAAATTGAATATCTCCATCATGGAGGGAATAGTGCTTTTAGGTTCTTACTCTACCTACAGGTGGGTCTGCCTTCCCTGACCATTGACGGAATGGACTCATGAAAGCCCTGTTTCCAGTCTTGTTTCTCGCTAAAGATTTGATGATATAGCAAAAGAAATGTGATTGTGGTTGGCCCACATGGGGTGCTGCTCTGCCATGTGTTCTCTTAGCCAGAAGCTGGAGTTACAGGACACTGAAGTGGACCACTGAAGGCTGTGTTCCAGAGTAGCTGGGAGACACCAGAGTGCTGGAGTTCTGAGCTACAGGATGCAGCCAATCGTTGTGTGTGAGCCCCTGCAGTGGGACAGTGGGAAACCCCGAGTGCTGAGGCAGAAGTGGTAGTCTTTACTCCCATGTTTACTTGTACCCAAGTCACAAAACTGTTGCTTCCTGTGATGATTCCTCTTCACTGTCCATTTGACTGGATTTAGAATCACCTAGGAGACACACCCCTGGGCCTGTCTGTGGTCTGTGGTAGTGTTTTCAGAAGGTGTAACTGAGTGTGGGTGGGTGGAACCATGTCATGGCTGGGGACCTGGACTGACTTAAAAAGAGAAAAAAGGGCTGGGCATTGGTGGCACCCACCTTTAATCCCATCACTCAGGAGGCAGAGGCAGGCGGATCTCTGTGAGTTTGAGACCAGCCTAGTCTACAGAACAAGTTCCAGGACAGGCTCCAAAACAATACAGAGAAACCCTGTCTTGGAAAAGAAAAGAAAAGAAAAGAAAAGAAAAGAAAAGAAAAGAAAAGAAAAGAAAAAAAGGAAGCCACTTCTACCTCTCTCTCTCTCTCTCTTTCTCTTTCTCTCTCCCCCTCCCTCCTTCCTTCCCTCCCTCTCTGGATACAGTATGAGTAGCTGCCTCATGTTCCTGCTGCCATGCCTTCCTGCCACAACGGGTCTCAAACCATAAGCCCAATCTTTAAGTTGATTTCTAGGTATTTTGTTATAGCAATATGAAAAAGCAACTCAATTCCCAGCCTGAAATATGGTCTTTGATTATTTGAAAAAAATTTATATTGAGGAGTGTTTTGTCTCAAGGAGGTGGGAAGAGGGCATCTGCTCTCCTGAAACTGGAATTCCAGATGGTTGTGAGCAGGTATATGGGTGCTGGGAATCTAACCAGTGCTCTTAACTGCTAAGCCATCTCTCCAGCCCCATGGACTTCAATGGTTTAGAGATTATAGGTCCAAGTGGAAGTATAGCCATTGAATTAAACATTCAGAGTGGTTGTTTTGGGCTGACACCATTGGCACTCTAGGCAAAAACATGGTTTACTTTCCTGGCTGGCATACTGGTCCTGCCTGCTAAAGGCACACTGGGTTGCTGCTTCACCATGGCCGCACAGAAGATAATCTATGGAAAAGGGACTACTTTCATATCCAATCATAGAAGATCAATAGAAAACCACAGCCATCCAAGGACTACTGGGGTCTAAAGTCATTTTCCAGACAAAATATCCCAACTGGCTGAGGTACTGTTGGAAGCTATGGGAAAGAGAGAAGTCATAAAGATCAATGGCAGCCTGGGGGTCTTTTCAGAAACTGACATGAGGGTTTTCTTCCGTGTGTGTGTGTGTGTGTGTGTGTGTGTGTGTAGAGAGAGACTGTGTGTGTGTGAGAGAGAGAGCTAGTGTGCGTGAGAGTGAATGTGTGTATATGTGTGTGTGAGAAAGACAGTGTGTGTGTGAGAGAGAGACAATGTGTGTGAGAGAGAGACAGTGTGTGTGTGTGTGTGTGTGTGTGTGTGTGTGTGGAGAAAGTGAGTGTATGTGTATATGTGTGTGTGTAAGAGTGTGTGTGTGTGTGTGTGTGGAGAAAGTGAGTGTGTGTGTAAGAGTGTGTGTGTGTGTGTGTGTGTGTGTGTGTGTGTGTGTGTGTGTTGCAACTTGCAGACTGAGTAGAAGGGGGCTGGCAACAGCTGCACTTGCATCTAATTTACATGCTGCCGTGTGTGAAGGAGGGCTGTGAGCGCAGGAACTACAGGAGGCATGAGTAGAATCCAGCCTCCCACCTCCCCCTGAAACAAGACTTCTGGAAGGGCTCCAAGAGTCTCATTTTGGAGAGAGGAGCAGCATGTCCCCTTTGATCATGTGTTTAGCTCTCTGGGATCCATGTGTTATCCTTCACGAGCAGAACTTTCATTAGTACTGAGAAGGGTCTCCATAGATGTCTAGATAGACCAGTAGGGTAGGCAGTGCCAGGTAGTTTCTGTGCCTACAAATTGCACCCTTGCCCTGTCTTGGCCATGGCTATTTTTATGTATATGAATGTTCTCCATATCTACTGCCTGCAGAGGTCAGAGAGGGTTCCAATCCCTGCAGGTGGAGTCATAGATTTGTGAGCCACCATGTGGGTGCTGGGAGTTGAACCTGGGTCCTCTATACGAAGGACATGTACTCTAAACTTGAAGCCATTGGATCCAGAGTTTTGAGTCAATGGCCTCAGAATCATTACCTGAGTGAAGGTGACCTTGAACTCGACCCTCCTGTCTCTATCCCAAGAGCTAGATTATAGGTGTGCACCGCCAGGCCCAGTTTATGCAGTGCTGGGGAATCAAACCGAGGACAGCTCCATGCATGCTAGGTAAGCAGTCTGCCAACTCAGCCACATCCCTAGCTCTACTTTTTCTTGTAACCTTTCTGAAAACATGCTAATTCTTATACTTTAAGTTTTGCAAAGTAAATAAAACCATGTTCTCTCTAAAACAAATTATGCTGTCAGTCTTAGCATTTTAATCTATTTCTCCTCCTTAGAGATTAGGATGGGAACCTGTGCCCTGGCCAACCTGTAAGAGGAGTGTAAACAAATGGATGCAAATGTACTCTACAAACTGTGAAGTCTGTGCCAAATGAAATGTTCTTGGGACAATGTCAGCAGCTTTCAACTGCATGTGAGGCTGCACTCTGTCCTTCCTCAGTGTCACAGTGCTGGGACAACAGGCAATTCCCACCTTGGTCTCCCGAAGAGCTGGATCCAAACCCTTGCTCCCCCCCGCCAGTCCCCCGCACTCCCCCCCGCCTCCCGCCCGTCCTGACTTTGGAAATGAGAGTTGGGCATACCACACAGTTTACAAATGAAAAGCAATTGCTCCTCCTGGATGCTTTATTGGGGGCTCTAAGCATGAGTGGCAGTGACACCCAGACCCTTTCCCAACATGCAAAAGGCACAGGAAAGTGAGACGGGTACAGGGGTGGGGGGACAGTGTGGAGGAGAGACCCCACTTCATGCAGTATGGGGAGTTTCTGAAAAAAAGGAAAGGTGAGGTGTTGAGGGATGCACCCCTTCTTTAGAGCTGAGACTGACCTTCAGAGGGAAGGCCAACATGGCTTTTGCTGAAAAGTCCCACCTTGAAGGGTGGGAACTCAACTCAAGGTAGGAGTGGTGATGGCTGCTGCCTTTTGGGGATTTCTACTTAAGTGCCAAACTGCACCAACTGGTCAATGAGACAGGGGGTGAAGGGTGTGCCCATGGAGTTAGTTGGTCCCAGCCATGGATGGGTTTGGGGATGCCACTGCTTGGCTTGAGCCAGTGCTGTCCCACTCAGTCCTTGTCCAGGAGGAGAATGAGACCCCTTTGATCTTCAGAGGCCTCCCACAGGGACTCTGGCTCTCCAGTCCCAGACAGAGGTACTGGCTAGATGAGTTGAGTTTCCGTGTTGGCTTTGTCCTATAGAAGAGGTCCCTGCCAAGAGGGAAGGGGAGGCTGGGGTCAGGCTCTTGGAGTCCCCAGCACCTCCCAGAACCTGGGCCCTGCTGGGCAGAACGTCCTGGGACTCACCTCAGATCCTAACCAGTCCCCACAGTAACGTCTTGAGACCTTGAATCAGAAGCAAAGGCATTCGGGTTTCTTTTCTCTTGCTTTCTCTCTCCTCTGGTAGAGCCGTGGCCTCAAATCACGGCGTTGGCAATGTCTACTTCTAAACTATGAAATGTTGTCACACTGACAATAGAATTACTAGGGAGAAGGGGCAGGAAATTCTGTCCAGAGCTCATGGGACAGTGAGTTACTGAGAGGGAGTTGGGAAGCACACAGCACAGAGACACCGCCAATCACACACCAGGCCCCAGCCCAGCTCTAGATGTATTTTTTCTTGAGGTACCAGTAGGCAAAGTAGCCCATCCCACCCAAGGAGCCCATGAGGAAGGATGCCCCAAAGAATGATGGCGGCTTCCGCTTGACCAGTCGGAACGCATTGGGGATAACAGCTGACAGCAGTGTGGTGTGGATGTCACCCAGGACTTTCCGGAAGGCAAAGCGTCTCTGGACCCTCTCAAAGAAGGACTGCAGGTTGGGCCGGCTGCCATCTTCCCAATATTTCTTGGACAGTCCCAGGAACTTGAGGCGGTGCAGGGTGGCTCCCAGGAGGACATCCGCCAGGGTGAAGGCACAGCCACAGAGCCACAGCTCGCATTTCTGCCCTAGAGGGGGAGAGGACACCTGGCACTCAAGCCCTGGCTCTGATCTGCCTGCAGGTGTCTCTGGAGGTCATTCCTTCCTGAACCTCTTGAGGAGCTGCTGCCATACCCTCACCTATGTGGCCTTCACTCTTCCTGTAAGTTAACTGACGTGGAAATTGCAAAGATCTACCTTATTTTCCTTTCTTCTCCTCTCTCTTCTTTTTTTAGGACGAGGTTTCATGTAGCCCAGGCTGGCCTCTAATTCACTATGTAATGAAGATAACCTTGAACTTCTCATCCTTCTGTTCTGTGATGTAGCCTGTGTTAGGACTGTAGGCTTATAGCACTGTACCAAGTTTGTCCAGTGCTTGGGCGGGGCGGGGCCAGGGGTGGGGGTGGTCAAACCTAGAACTTCACACAAGCCAGGCAAGCACTCTACCAGCTGAACCTCATTCCCCAGCCCTTTCTTTTTCTTTTCCTCTTCCTTTGCTTTTCTTTTTAATTTTGGAAACAGGATCGATAGACAAGACTCACCTTAAATTTGTGATCCTCCTGCCTCAACCTCCAGAGTGCTGGGAATGCAGGCTGCATCACCCCAAACTGCTGCTGGTCGATAGCTCCACCTACTGTCACTCCACATTCCAAGTGACACATGTCCAACGGGGAATTGGGGATTGATGCTCCCAAGTCCACCACACACACCCCATTGCCACAGTGTCTCTCTATCCTTCTATTCAGTACCAGAACCTTGGTGCCACCACAAGCTCTTTCTTCCATTGCCCCCATAGTCAGTGTGCCAGGACGTCTTACTAGCTTTGTCTTCAGAATATATCCAGACTCTAGTGTCTGTTTCCACCATCCCAGCCTGAACAACCAACCACCCTGTCCTACTCACACAATCACAGTAGTTGTTAAATGGTTCCCCTCGCCCCAGCTTCTGCCCCCTACAGTCCACCCTTAACACAGCAGCCAGAGGGCTGTTGTTAAGATCTAGGTGGGATCCTGTCAAAGCTGATGCCTCTTGGTCCTACCTGTGTGATCTACCCCCCTGCCTTCCTTCCAGGCCTCAGATTCTTCTTCCCCCTTCATTCTTGACCAACACATCTTGATCTCCTTGCAGATCCTCAAGCCAAGCCCGTTCTTACCTCAGGCCCTATGCCTTCCTTGGCTGTCTCCTCTGCCTAGAGTAGTGTTCTTTAGAAGTGATGGCTCAATTTATCTCCTTCATAGGCCTTGGCTGCCTTTTCAGGGGGCTTAATAGACTATTACTTTAAAACTGAAGGGCTGAGGGCATAGTTCAGTTCACTAACCCCTAGGTTTGGGCCCCTGGCCTGAATGAACGGGATATGGTAGAGCCTGCCTGCAATGCCAGCATTTGAGAGATGGGAGCAGGAACATCAGAAGTTTGAGGTCATTCTTTGCCGCAAGGTGAGTTCAGATGGCCCAGGCTACTGGATAATGGGGCAGAGTGGTGTGTGTGTGTGTATGGGGGGTGGGGCACCAGGCTAGGGTTGCTGCAAAGGTGTGGCTTGGGAGTAAAGCTGGCGTGTCAGGTCAGAGACCTGCTGTGCATCGGGAGGCACCCTAAGACATCCCCTTGCAGGGCCAGGTAAGACCATGGGTGCTAACAGCCACTACACCGTCCTTTTCACACACAGGAGTAACACATGCTACATGCTGCCCACCCTGAGTACTCTGAATGTCTCCGTCTCACAGTGTCTCAATAATTCTCTCACTCTGTGTATGGGAGACTGAGCGCTGGTGCAGGGAGAGACTTGCCAAGGCCACTGCTCCAGCCCTCGAACCTAGGACTGTGTGACCCTGGAATCTTTGGGAGAAAAAGGCTGGGGGTTGTCAGAATGGGTGGGGGAAGCAGATGGGCTGAACTCGTTACCCCAGCTATGATACCCACCCTCATTCTCCAGTTTCCTCTTCTCCAGCTCTGCCTCAATCTGATCAAGCACCATAGCCAGCTCCCCAAGGATCTTCTTCAGGTAGCTCACATCATCGTGCTCCAGGATCTTGGCCTACAGGCAGGAGAGGCAGCTGCTCAAGCAGGAGCTGATCTCAAGGGAGCCATGATATCCAGAGATGGAGTATTGCCTACCACCCCCTGCACAAGCCTGCCTTCAAATACCCTCTCCAGTATATGGCATGGCCCTCTGTTACAGTGCACCCTCCCCCAGGACCGAACCAATCCCATCATCTTGGCCACCTTGCCCACATTCCCTGGCACAAGGCTGGAGCAGTGCTGCCACTGCTGTGTGCTAGGTGACCAATGTTCTTTTCCCAGAGAATGTCTGTCTGCCAATGAGGAGCCATCTTGCTTAGAAGCACAAGGAAGATGATCCCCATCCCACCAGGTGGTCTGTAGTCAATGGCTACTGATATTGGGGTATTAAAGCATGGCCAGCTATAGGGTGCCTTTTACATTCCAGAGCTTTCTGTGGGGTCAGATGGAACTCAGCCAAATCCCCTTCCCTACCTCTCCCATGTCCTTGGGGGCACTCTGTCCATACTGTCTGATGCAAGGACCTGTGTTCAGGGCTCTGCTTGCAGAGACAATATAAACCAGAGGCTGTGGGGAGGTCTGTGGAGGGGAGTGGTGGCTTGCCGTGGCCACGATATGGTAGAGGAGATATGATTGGAGGATCAAACCACTTGTGTTTTCCAGGTCAAAGCATCTGCTGATCCTCCATTTAGAGCTTTCTTCCAGTAGGAGGGAGGGGACATAGGCAGGGCACTCACCATAGCTGTCCCTGTCTGTGAGAGGAGGGGATGTAGGCAGGCACTCACCATAAGTTTCTTCTGCTTGGAAAGATAGGGCTCAGAGAGCTGTGGTTCCTCCTCGTGGTCCAGTTTCATGAGGTCTGTAGTGGCATTGGCCAAATGTCCTGGAACAGAACACGAAAGGTCCTGTCTCCCTGCTCCCCAGGTCCTCTCCTTCCCACATGACCAGGAGAGGCCACCTGCCTGGGGCACAAAGGGCCAGGAAACCTTGCTGAAGAGGACGATGTTGCCTTGAGGAGGAGGAGAAGGAGGAAGAGGAGGAGAAGAGGTGATGCTGGAAATGTGTAGAACCTGAAACCCAGAGCTGTTCACCTCCCCAGAATCCCCTCCCCCAGATGAAGCCGGCCCAGCCTGGGGGTGTCCTCAGAGCCCCTCACCTCCAATCAGGCCGTGTAGGCTCTTCCTCCAGCACTGTCAGGCTTTTACATGTCTCATCCAGACCTCCATTGCTCAGCACACACCTTGGGTGAGTTTCACAGGGTTTCCTATGTAGCCCTAGCTGGCCTAGAACTTGCTGTATAGACCAGGCTGGCCTCAAACTTGTGGTGATCCTCCTGCCTCTGTCTCCTAAGTGTTGGACTAGAGGTTTGCATCACCGGCCCTTCTCACTCTCACCCTACCTCTTCCAAAGGGCTTCTGTGCCTGCCCCTGCCCCAGCTCATCCTGGGCCCCTTCAGATAGTACCCCAGCTCTCAGCTTACCTTCGGGAACCATGGGATCTACCTCTCTTCTCAGCTGCCCTGTCTCTCGTTGAGCTGCCCCCATAACCCTGTCCCCACAGGGTACATCTCAGACACTTAAATAATTTCCCATGTATCAGACCACTCTAAACCTTCTGGCCCTCATCTCATTCCCTGGAATAACCATGCCCTCTATTCTTCTTCTTTTTTTTTTTTCTAATAGGATTTATTTATTTCTCTATGTATGGGTGTTTTGCCTGAATGTATGTCTGTGCACATGTGTAATACTCTAAGAGTCCTGAAGAGGGCGTCAGAGCCCCTGGAACTGGAGTTACAGTTTTAACTACCATGTGGTTCTCAGAACAGAACTGGGGTGTTAAACATGTGCTGTTACCCACTGAGCCATCTCTGCAGCCCCCATGCCCTCTGTTTTTGAAAGCCTCTTTCCGACCCTGTGAAGGCCCCCTTATCTTCCACTTCTGACCTCAGGGCTTTTGTTCTGGTGTGCTCTGCAGACCTCTGCCAGGAGATGCAAGCCTACCAACCACCAACTGGGGCTGCCTCAGGACAACACTGCTCATCTGTGACCTCTGTGAAAAGCGGCCCTTGCACAGCCTGTATTGTTTGCCAGATGTGGTAATTTGGTGTTGGTGTGTTTATCTGTCCCGTTGCCTCTGAGCTCATGCTCATCTGTAGCCTGATGAGACCCAGCCCAGGCCTGGAGAGCAGGACTCTGAGTGCGGAAGAAAGGAAGGGGATGAGCAAGAGTGTGAAAGCTACAGCCACCAGGTATCTGTCCTCTGAGGCCACCTACTTCCCACCATGGCCTGATGGTGTCCAGTAAACACTGTGAGCTCTTCCAGCTCTAGGCGGTATTAACTCTCATTGATGTTTTATGAATGTGAAGGCCAAGCCAATCTCTCTCCATGGCTGCCCTTGTGCCTGCCTTTAGACTATGGGGAAGACCTTGGAACACTTTCGTAGTCACTGCAGGCTGACTTTGCTTCTCAGCACCCCATGAGGTCTGCCCTTCCCCCTTCCCTGTGAAATCCTAAAATTATCTCTGCTTCCTCAAAGGGGTGAAAACTGGGTCCCCTCTGAACCCCACTACTGCCTTCCAGGTCCCCTGAGATGGCTCAGGACAAGATGAGGGCAGTATCCACAGCTCACCAGGCCATGTCACCACTCACTTAAATGATAGCCAAGGCCTCACACTTCCTCTCTCACGGACTCTGTCCATGGGAAATATAGCTGCTCATATCAAGGCCCATAACGGGTTCCCCATAAAGTGCCCCCCCACCTCCAAGCCTGCTCCCCAGAGTCACACGAGCCCCTGCCACTGACCCATGCTCCACTCTGCCCTACTGTACTTCCCTGTGGCTTTCCACATGCTGCACCTGTCTTCCCCACGGCCCGAATCATCTTCCTCCTCCTTTTTTATAAATGTTCCTACTTGTTCCTGGATGTTGCCACAATCCCAGGTCCTAGGACCAACACCTTGCGTGGCCCTAGGTCCTCTGTGTTGTCCTGATCTGGATATTGGAACTATATTTACATTTTTTAACTAATTGATTTGGCATAGGTTATACATACAGACTAAAAACTCAGGCGAAGGTAAAGGATGTGCAGTAAAAACAAATCTCTAGTCAGGTGTGGTGATGAACACATCTGCAATCCCAGCACTTGCTGGCAGGGGGATCAGAAGTTCAAGGTCATCCTCAACTACATAGTGAGTTCCAGACCAGATTGGGCCACATGAAACTGTCTCAAAAACCCCCAAAGCAAAGCAAAGCAAACCATAATTACCGCTCTATCTTCAGACTCTCAGCTCTGCTCCCTGGAGACTACCACTACTGCAGTTTCTAGCACACCTTTCCAGAAACATCCCTTGCACCAAGAGCCGAGGGGCATTCTTTGGTACTTGCCAGGGCAGATGACACACTACTGCTTGGTCCTCTCCCCTTTTTTGCCACTCATTGGCATATCTCTGAGAACAATCCATATGCCTGTTATTTTTCAGTAAAACAGCACCATAATGAATTTCCTCCATCTCCAACTTGTAGACACCAAAGTTGTTTTCAGCAATATTTCTCACCATAGTGTGGTGAGAAATTTGTATACACTTCTTGGTGCACAAGTTCAAGTGTTACTTTGGGATAATCTTCAAGGCATGAGCCTTTTCGGCATTTGGCACAGAGTACCCCCCCTCCCATCCCTGGCTGTCCAAGTCTCCTTTGCTTGCATTGTCATTATCTGAGCTTGCATTGTCATTACCTGACCTTGTCTGTGACCCTGGGGTGACAGAAGCTGTGTTTATCTTCATCTGTTGGCAGCCTCACCCAGGACTGATATTGCTGACTGAATGGGAGCAACAGTGTAGAGAAAGCTCCTTAGTCTTCCTCAAGGGATTCTACGAGTTAGGGCTGAGTTCCACAGCCTGACCCCTCCCCACCTTTGCACAACAGTAGGACAGAGGAGAATGGGAAGGGAAAGGAGGTGACCACTTACTGAGCATCTAGGACCTATTAGACATAGTCATGGCTCTTAAGCCTACAGGGCCACCTAATGCTATAACAGAATCTAGATTTAAATCCCCATGAGTAAACTCTTGATAGTCAGCTGACTGGATCTGATTTTCATCCATTGATTACCGATAGGATAGGCTGGTAGTCAGGAGAGTACATGGGTGACCTTGGATCAGAAAACAGAGACCTACTGGGTGGCAGCCTTCTGTAGAAACCTTAACCCTGATGTCACTCAGGGTTCTTGGCTACCTATGCAGGGTCCCTCCCCTTGACCCCAGGTGTCTGCAGGAGGTCTCACAGACCCGAGGAAGGAGCCACTGGCGGGCCATCTGTGCAGCTGTCTGAAGGGGCGGCAGCAGGGCAGTGTGCACAGGGAGGAAAGACAAATGGGAGAGACGGAGGAAAGGGAAGGGTGAAGAACAGCGAGACCCAGGGCTAGAGCATGAGGTGAGGAGGGAGGACCTTCCACAAGGCAGGGAGTAATGGAAGGAGGGCTCTGTGAGGCAGCACTCACTGCGGATCTCGGCCGTGGCATACTTGGGGATCATGGAATCCGTGGTGAGCTCCGGGTGCAGGATGCAGCCGTGTGTGTAGGCGTCCATGGGCAGTGCATCCAGCAGCTCCCGGTACTGCAGCACTCGGGCGTGTTGTGGGCTGCCTGCCTCAGGCATCAAGGCTACCACATGCTCTGTGGATACCACCAAGGGCTAGATCAGGGTCCATGCCTAGCCCCACTCATAAGAACCCAGACCCCCAAATGTCATGCCCAGAAATCCCAGACCTATCTCCCTGGGGCTTAGCCACTGGCTATTAGGATTCCTAGTGACCCAGTAGCTACTCTGGGTTTCACTAAGCTGTCCCTCGTGGGGCCAGCACCTCTCAGTGACAGACAGTAGCCAGGTGGGGGGTAAGTGCCCAATGCTGTCTGCTTTCCGTGGGCTGGAAAACACCATACTTAGAACTTCAGCCTCGCCGGCCATTGGTGGTGCACGCCTTTAATCCCAGCACTCGGTAGGCAGAGGCAGGGGGATCTCTGTGAGTTCCAGGCCATCCTGGTCTACAGAGTGAGTTCCAGGACAGCCTCCAAAACAATACAGAGAAACCCTGTCTCGAAAAACAAAAAACAAAACAAAACAAAAAACCAAGAACTTCAGCCTCCTTGACTTGCCAAATAATTATTCATATCCAGCCTTCTTTTTTGAGATGGAATCTCACTCAGTATGAATCCCAGCCAATTCTCAAACCGGAGATTCTCCTGCCTTAGCCTCCCAAGTACTGGAAGTAGAGGGCATGAATATATGCCACTATGCCCAGAAAATTTATATTCTTTTTTTAAAAAGTTGTTTTGAAGTTGGGTGTCATGGCACACACCTGTAATCCCAGCACCTGCGAGGCAGAGGCAGGGGGATTGCTGTCAGTCCCAGGCCAGCCTGGTCTGCATAGTGAGTGCTAGACCAGATAGAGCCTCGAGTTCTAGGCCAGATATAGTGAGACTCTTTCTCAAAGAAAAAAATGTACATTGTTTTGAGTTGAGATGGGTCTCATGTAGTCCAGCGTAGCCTCGAACTCTGCTATGTAACTGAGCCTGGCCTTGAATTCCTGATCCTCCAGCTTTCACCTTCACCTGTCACGATAGATCTTTCTGCCAAATGTCGCCTGAGTCCCACCGTCACGTGTGAGCTTTACGCAAGCTGCCCGCCCGAGTTAGGCCCAAATGAATACACAGAAACTTGTATTAGACTAAAAGGGGAATTGTAGGGGAAGCTGTAGCCAGTCCCTAAGTAGGTATGGCTACAGCTTCTCCTACATTCACCTCCTAAGTGCTGACATTACAGACATGTGCTACCATGTCATAATTGCAAATCCTTGTTCTTAAAAATAGTCCAAGCCCAGGCTCCGGGCCCACTGTCCCAGCTGCCTGAACCTCTGCCACAGGCGGCAAGCACCTGAGCCTTAGAGGCCAAAGGGAGGAAGAGGTAACAGAAGTTCTGGGGTGTCGTGCGTGTATCTTCAGGGTTCCAAGTTGCCTGAGAGCATGCCAATGGGGTTCCTGGGGGTCTGGACCTAACTATGCTTGGAAGGTTGTGGAGTACTGGGCCCTGAGAAACTTGATCCTGTCTTTGGGAGCCTGAGGAAATCCTGAGGGCCAGGGCTGAATCTGAATCTGCAAGAGGTCCTGGGGAAGGAAGGAACCCCAACTGACCTGGGTTATCTAGGTCATGCCCTTCCCTGGGTGTCGAGGAGATGTTCTGAGGGTATCTGAGCCCTGACTGTAGCCTGTGATTTCTTTGGGAGAACACTGAGTCCTGCCCACGGCTCAGTGGCTTGCTTAGGTTCAAAGATGGTGTCTGAGCCTCTGGGATCCCTGTTGCACACCCTGCCCACACCTATGGGGCATAGCATACCTCCTGTGAAGGTGCGTTCCACGTAGTCGATGATCTGGTCGTAGTCGCTGATAATGTTGTCTCGGTGGATAATGACTGGCACCTCTTCACCCAGGTTGAGCCGCATGAACCAGGGCTCCTTATGCTCGCTCTGTGGAAGGCTCACATCCCTCTCTTCGCAGACCAGGCCCTTCTCTGCGATCACCAGCCGCACCTGCAGGCGCCAGGGTCAGAGCGGGGGAAGGCGGGTGGACACAGGGGACACTCTGCCCGGGTGGGGGAGGCGTGCAGGAAAGGAGGTCAGAGGTCACACACAAGAGGGGACACTTGCTTGCAGCCCATTTTTTGGGCACTTGGGTAGGAGGTTATGGTTCAGGGTCATGTGCTTGGGGGTTGGAGAGAAATGCAGCCCTAGGCTGAAACACAGGGCAGTGCTACCTGGTTGCCATGGGGCTAACATGTTGGGCTAGGGTTCCAGCTGTGCAGATGTGGGCAAATTGCCTCGACCCCCAGGGCCAAATTTAAGTATTAATAGTTTCAAGTTTGTGTCTAGCACACAGATGGCGCTCAACTCATGTTTATTGTTACCGTGATGCAGACATTCAGGGAGTAGATTTGGCCAGGAAATTCACAGAAATTCCAAGTGTCACTATAACTGAGAGCTAAATGTCTCAGATGATTTGGGAACAAAGTGAGGTGGAAGGCAATGTGTCCATGTCTATACAGTCCCTGCATTGCTCCAAACACTGTCCCATCTCGATTTCCTGGTTGGATGCTGGCGACAGCAACCAGAGGAGGGCAGAACAGGGGGCAACTAAAGTCAAGGAGGGTAGGCATCGTGCCCCATGTCACACAGCCACGTGGCAGCCAGCTTAGAACTGGAAGCAATGGCTCTAGACCAGGGCCCTCTTTCTTGGTTTCCTCTAGGGAGTTGCTGGGGCTAGCCTCTCTTGAGTCTTCCCTTCTGTCTCTAGGAAGCCAGTGTGGCTGGGCACACTCCTGACCCAGGCTGTGTCTGGGAACTGGAAGATGCCTAAAGCTTTCTTAGCTCAGTTGCCCTCACATGTGGGGTGAGACTCAGGAAGGAGACAGTCTTGTCTAGATCACTGAAAAGGGAATGGTGTCAAGCCACTCCTTCACTGTCCTCCCATCTTTTGGCTCCATTCCAGGGCCAGGAGGCCACCACTGAAAGAGGCGGAGGCCATTCTTGAGCATCTGTATCCACCCACACCAGAGATGACAAGTCCTGGGCTGAGCACCCCGCCCCCTCCCAGATACCAGGTATCGGAAGAGGGGCCTAGGGTCAGATTCACAGGCTCGCTGTGGCAGCCCCAACCTGGGTGGCTTTAAAAGTCCCCTTGCTTCTGGAAGCCTCCTGCTGTAGGGGGTCCTACTGTGCTCCCTCAAAGGGCTGTGGGAAGAGTAAAAGCTCCATACTGTATGATGGTCTAGTATACCGTAGGGGTGACATGTCTTAGCTACTTGGATTAGACCAAATATTCTGGTTAGTGTTTTGTCAACTTGACACAAACTAGAGTCATTGGGAAGAGAGACTCTCAATTGAGAATACAAGAAAGTGCCTCTGTAAGAGCCAGCTGTAGCCAAGTCTGCAGTGTGCATTTTCTTGAATGCTGACTGATGTAGGCGGGCCCAGATCACTGTGGACAGCCATACCCTGGGCAGGTGGTCCTGAATAGTGTAAGAAAGCAGGCTGAGCAAGCCATGGGGGGTGGGGCAAGCTAGGAAGCAGTGCTCCTCTATGGCCTCTGCTTCAGTCCTTGCCTCCCAGTTCCTGCCTTACTTTCGTTCCTGCCCTGACTTCCTTCAGTGATGGACTGTTTGTTACCTGAGAGTTGTAAGCTGAAATAAACCCTTCAGTCATTGAGTTGCTTTTGGTCAGTTTTGTTTTTATTACAGCAATAGAAAACTAAGGCACCAGGTTTGGAAGACAGAAAGACTTGGAACTGAAGCCTCACCCTACTGGCTGTTTCTGTGTGGTCTGATAAGTCACTTAACCACTATGATCTCTGAGTATCCCTGGCTGTCCTGGAACTTGCTCTGTAGACCAGGCTGGCCTTGAACTCATGGAGATCTGAATGCCTCTGCCTTCTTAGTGCTGGGATTAAAGGCATTCACCATGACCACCCAGCTGAACACTCTGATCTCTGGTAGGGTACAGTTTATTTCTGTAAAGTATGGGCAGAGTCCCAGCACAGTTAATCCATGGTCCTAACAAGCGCTCGAGTGAACACACACACACACACACACACACACACACACACACACACACAGACACACAGACAACACACCACACTGCACCCCCATTTGGCGTCCTGGAGCCCTTCATGACCTACACTCACAGCTAATATAGACGCCTTTCCTTATGCTTGGTGGCTGTGCAGAGAGAGGTAATTCACCCTTGAACTTCCAACACTCACGCACAGCCTCATTTGCTCCATTGGCCCAAAGCTAGTTCTATAAGGGGTGGCCACCTCATAGAACTGGGCTAGACATAGGGACCTAGCTCATATTCCTGGCTCTGCTGTGTGGCCTCAGCTGTCACTGACCCTCTCTAGTTCCCCTCCCCCCCTTTCCCTCCCTCCCACCACTTCACTCTGGGGTGGTGAGAGGGTTTCAGGTTCTTCCAGGAGGAACCACTGCAGAGCGAATAGCCTGGGCAGCGTCTCTTTGCTCTAGGTGTAGGAGCGGGCAGCTGTGTGTGCATGTGTACAGTGCGTTTGTGTGAGTGTAAAGGCAGTGTGTGTACTCGGCCTGGTAGAGTGTGTGTGTGTGTGTGTGTGTGTGTGTGTGTGTGTGTGTGTGTGTGTGCTGTACTGTAGAGAAGCCCCTCAGCTTTGAGGTGGAGCTGGGAAAAACAAACTCCTGGTCACTTCCTCTTGTGTATCTCAATGGCCTTCGGCTCGGCCAAGCTGGGGGAGGGAGGCTCCTGGTCAACCTGGAACTTTCCGGTGGTTGGAAAGACCAAACAGGCCTTTGCCCTTGCCCTTGGCCTTCTACCCTGTCAGGGCACCTTTCCTAAGAAGCTACACTCTGGTCTGTGCTCTGAGGCTCCCTGGAGGGAGTCGGGTATGGGTTTCTGCCTCAGGAAAGACTATCTTTAGAGACACAGTAGCCCTGCTTGGAGCTGCCTCGGGTCACCCTGGCAGATGGTCGAGGAGACTTTCACCTTTAGTGGAGCTGAAGACCAGCGCCATGTGCCATCCTGCAGGAGAGGGAACCCAGGCTCAAGGGGAGGGGAACACAGCCACCACAGCCATCTGCCACTCAGTCTCCTGGAGAGTTGGCTAGACCCAGGGGGTCACCACTCTGTGTGTCCATCTCTGGGGAATCTATCTCCTTTGTGGGTACCTGGAAAGTGTTTCCTGGTGCTTCATTGGGGTGGCTCACAGTGGGGTGATCATGATGATCTGGGTTGGCTTTTCTACCTGGTAATGTGGTTGCTGTGTGACTTTGTAAAAGGCACTCAGAGTCTCTGAGCCTTTATTTTTCCAATGCCCCCTCCCCTTAATACTATGTATGAACAGCTGCTGGTTTACCGAAGCAAATATTTATTTTTAGACCAGATCTCCAGGCTGTGTTGTTGTTTTGCTTCAGCTTTGACTATGGCTGCAATGAAGCATGAGCCACGAAACTCAACAAACCCACATGGAGTTTACTGGGGGAAGGGAGCAAAGGGAGGGGACCTCTACCTCCCTAGATAGCCAAGAATGGCCTTGAACATCCACCCTCAGGCCTCTGTTTCCCCAGCGCTGGGGTTACCGGTGTGTGCCACTACACCTTGTTTATCAGACACCAGTGGCTTATCAATACATCACTTTCCAATACTGTTCATTGAGCACCTACAAGCTAAGTGCTGGAGGCCCTGCGGTGAACACAATCCGCTATTGTTGATGCTTGCATAGGACAGATGAACGGAAGATGTTAAGGCAACAGCTTCAAAGAGGATGGCGCGGCAGGCAGGCCTGTGAGCATCCTACAGGGTAATGGAGTGGTCCACATGAGGCCCCCTGGGCAAGGGAGCTCCAGAGGAAGAGAAAAGCAGCCATTGTAGAGGACTAAGAAGGACCATAGGGACAGTCTGAAGCAACAGGAAGCCAGTGTGGGTGGGTGAGGACCAGGAATGGAGTACAGGAAGGATTCTGTACGGGGGCTCAATGAGGACTCCCAGACTCAGGCAGAGGGGCGTGTGCAAATACATACATGGAGTCCTTGAGTGAGGACAGGAGCGACATTTGCTTTTCAGTGACAGAAACTACCTGGCTGCTAGCCTCTCTTCAAGGATGTAGGCAATAAAGTCTGGTGTGGGCGTGACTTCACAGTTGCAGTTACTCAAAATGTGTATATACTCACTGGGACTTGAACACGACCTGCCGCCTGATCGTGTTAGCTAGTGGGCTAGTGCAGAAAGACAAGTCATTGCATAAAATAGTAGTATTAAAAGCATTTCCACAGTTGACCTTGAAAATGACTAGTTCCCTTTCTGCTCTAACAAGCCTACCGTGGCACATTAGTCAACTGAAAGCAGTTTGCAGAGAAGTGTCCATGGGCTTTCTGTAGCTTTATCCTGACTCCCAACCAGGTTAGGATTCTTGGGGCCATTGTGAGGACTCTGGGTCTCTTCTGGAGGGAGTAGGGAACTACTGTGAGCGCCTGAGCAGGATTTGTGCTGATCTTGCAGCAGGTAGGTTGGTAGGAAGTGCCCAGGAGTTTGAAAGACAAAGTAGTCAGTTGCCCTTCCAGTTCCTGCATGGTGTCAGCACTGGTCTCTGGCAGGATCCAGACCTAAGACTTTTAACCCTGGGAGATGAAGGCCATGATATGGGTTTCTTATAGGTGGTGGCAGTGCCCATGAGGATGTGGTGGAGGGACCTTGAGTCAGGTATGTTGGCGTGGTGTGTGTGTGTGGGGGGAGGATGATCTGAGAGTCACTCTCATAGGAATAGGAAAATCGTCACCAGGCCACCACTCTCTTATATTCTTCTGCTGTGCCAGGTGCTGTTCTGAGAGCCTTATGTGAACTGAATGGCATGCTCCCCACAGGTCCTCAGGGATATGGTACCAGACAGTACCCATGAGAGTACCACAGCACTGCCAACAGCCAACCTCACAAGAGGAGACAAACACAGAGACTATGAGTGACCTGGCAAAGCTACTCAATACCAAGCTTAGTTTGTTTGGTTTTTTTTTTTTTAAAGAGGGCAGGTATAAGGGTGTGTGTGTGTGTGTGTGTGTGTGTGTGTGTGTGTGTGTGTGTAGAAGGCAGAGACCACTGAGGAGGGAAAGCCTATTCTTTCTGCATGGGGAAGGAAGGATCCTGGCAGGATGTAGCTTATAGTTTTCCTATTGAGGAAACTGAGGACCAGAGAGGACCAAGGGCGTTTTCAGTTAGTGGAACTGTGGTCCTCTGACTCCCTGATTTTTGCCCCTCTCAGCCCTGCTCCTGTCCTGAGAGGCAGAGGAAGCTGGAGAAGGAACATCCGGGGAACCATGCTTACGTTCCCCATATGCGATCACGGCTTCTCCTGAGCGCCATGGCCTCCAACCGTCACTCATGACAGTGCCTTAGCATTCCCTATCGCTGTGCAGCTGCTCCATGTGTGGCCATGCATAACATCTTTCATTCCTCACACCCTCAGATGGAGGTGCTATTGTTGCCCACAAAAAACCAAACAAAGTGAAACCTAGAGAGGTTATGATACCCACAGGGCCACGTGGCTGAGAGGGACAAGGACCTCAAATTTGGCTCATGGCACCACTGGTGTCTTCATGGCAGTCAAGGATGACAGAATCCTTGTCATATGCTTCCTAGGTGGTACCCAGAAGTCCATGCACTGCCCCTCTTAATGACCTTTACCCCCCGGTTTACCAAATGCAAAACTAAGACATCAGAGTCACAGTAATGTATACAAATTATCCTGCTGGTTAGGGGCATCCTGGCGGTCTGGGCCCAGAGTCTATGCTTTGGGCTCCTTGGGATCTGCTACAGTCCCCAGTGCCCACAGGGGTTGCTGCCACTCTCTGAAGTAGGCCATTTCTGCAAGTAACAGCTCAGTACCACCAAGGATGGGTTTCCCAGAGACATCTGTGGGAAGAGTCTGCTGCAAGCATGGCCTCAGGGCCAAAAGGGACGATGGAATGCACCTGCTGAGTTCCAACTGCATGCCAGGCTCTTGATGTATGCCTGTGTTCTAGAAATCCCCCAGGAGATCTCCAGGGGCTAGAGAGAAGGTCCTGTTTGCAGGCGACAATGTTGAGTCACAGCCAGGTGAAATGACTTGCCCAGAGTCACTCAGTAGTAGGCGGCCAAGAGATGAGCCAGCCATATGATTGCCAAGCCCATCCTCTTCCTGTGTGCCCTGGTGGAGGAGGCAGGAGGATGTCTGTGCTAGCTTGAAAGACACTCAGCCTAAAGGAATGCTGCTGTGCTCAATCCCTTCCCTAACTCCAGCCACCTATGCCCCGTGCTCAGGCCGAATAGGAGTCTTCCCTGATGGAACAGCAGGAAACCCTCTCGAGAGACAGGAGGGGAATGCCTCTTCCTGCCCCACGTTGCGTCCCAGTCACTAAGGCCTGCTTCCTGAAGGTCTAGCTTGGAGTGGTTCTGGGATCTGGAGGTCAGTCTGACCCATCTCCAAATCCCCTGTGCCTGATATAACCTAGGGCATACTCAGCAAGCAAGTAGTTGCTTGGTAAGCACATACAAAGCGCACGGGCAGGTCTCAGATTGACCTTGGCTAACTCTGACTTTTCATTATCTAGCATTTTTTTCCCTCGATGCTGAGACCTGGACCAGGAGCCTCATGCCTGTTAGGCACCAGCTCTCCCACAGATCTGATCTCCACCTCGTCCCCAGCAGTTTAACAAACCTCACACCCTTATCATCAGACCCCCCATCCCTCCCCAGACACCAACATCAACACTCTGTGCGCAAGCTCACGTCATCTTCACAGTGGCCCTCTGCGGAAGCGACAGATCACTTTGGAGAGGCAAACGGGGGCATCCAGAGCTCCATGGTGGGGCACTGAAGAAGATGGCTCTCTCACTAGGCTCTACCTGGCCTCAGACTAAAGGACTCTAAACGAAATGACCAAACAGTGGTCATCTTCTCAGCATCACCCATTTGGGCCTGCCTCTAGACTAACCGAGCCATCTGGGGCAGAGTCCAGCAGTCTGTGTCTGAGCCAGGATCACGAAGTGATTTCAAGGCTCAGTGGGGTGTGAGTAGAGCCAGCCTGGAATACTGTTGTGTCACCCCTTAAACAGCCCTTCCAGCAACTCTACCAGGGGACTGAAGTTCCTGGTGGCTATTGTTACCACTATCATTATCCCATTTTCCAGGTTATAAAACTGAGTCTGGGCCACAACACAAATCCAAGTCTGTTTCCAAAGCATTTATCTTCGGCAACCCCCACCCCCACGTGTGAAATAAATGCATGGAATGAGGGGAGGGGCTGAGTCAGGTTACAGCACTGCCTTGGCTCTGGCGGGACCCAGCTCTGGGCTCTGGCCATGGTGCTGAACCCACAGGACTGCTTCCCAGAGTGAGAGACTGAGTCCCTTAGTGCTGGGTGTTGGGGTGCAGTGTCTGGTCTCACTCCCACAAAGCGGGAAACCCAGTGACAGCACCAGGGTGTACTTGCTCTTACACCAGCAAGTCGGGAAAGGGTCTAAGGGGACAGAACAGTCTGTGCCTTTAAGAGCAAAACACAGATCTGATGGGCAAGTCAACTGCTCTGAGGGGATAGATTAACTCCTTCCTTCTCAGCTCAAGAGAAAAGGGTGACAGCTGGGGACCGACTTTCCAAGCCCCAGATTGAAGAAGACCCTCGCCAGAACCAAGGGCCTAGGAGCTCACGGTGTTTGGGACAGCGGGTGGGAGGGAAGGCTGGCCCAAAGTGGGGCTTCCTCTGTTCAGCCCCATCAGACCGCTAGCCAGCAGGGTCGGTCTGTCCCCGGCCTTTGTCTCTCTGTTCAGGTGTCCCCAAGAGGGAACGAGGCCTAAGGAAATTCTCCTGGAATCGGGGCTGGGCTCTGCGGCCGGGCGGGCAGGACAGTCCCCTCCGGGGAACCCTGGTGCCACCTGCCCCTCGCGACGGTCCCCTCCCAGCCTCCTGTCCGCACCCTGCGCCCCCTCTACCTTCTGCGAACTGAAGGACTGGGTCCAGTGGTACAGAACCAGGCTCTCCTTGGGCCAATGGGCGGGGCTGGCTGCCTCGGGCGCGTCGGGGGCCTCCACCGGCTTGGCCGCATCGCTTTCCAGCGCCGAGATGGGCCACCAGCTGCAGTTGGTGGGGGTCAGGTTGTTGGGGGTCGCCATGACAGCCCGCGATCGGAGGAGGAAGGAGGCGGCTCGGCAGCGGCTCGCTGGCGCCCAGCATCACATGGCCTCGCCGAGCCTGCCCCTCTCCCTCCTCCCCCTCCTCGCGATGTCATTACTCACTGGGTGCAAGGGGGAGGGGCAAGGGGATCCCGGGGCTCGTTCCTCCTCCTCCTAGCTGTGGGTCCTCCCCGAGGGCCCCAGGGAGGGAAGGATGCGGGGAATCTGGCCGAGTGGGCCGCGCCCCCCAGAGCACTCACAGCTGGCCAGTCCCCTGCCATAGACTCCACCATCATAACACATTTGTGTCTCTCAATCTTGCGAGAGCACCTCTTAGTTTAGATAAATGACAGTATAGAGGTCTATTTAACCCCTTTCACGAGTAATGTCTGGAGATAGCTCTATCTGAACCTGCCGTTCTCTGACTTTTCCCCGCCTAAAGGGCTCCCGACAGCAGAAGGGAATGAACAGCCATTTATTATCCACACGGGCACGTACTCTTTACCCAGGCACCACACCAAGGGTTTTACGGCTGTCTACCCCTTTGGCCTGTTTTACGGAGGAAGGCTCTGAGGAGAAGTGACCTTGCTCAAGGTGACCGTTGCTAACTGGTGGAGCTGAGATTCAAACTCAAGGCTGATTGCACGCAGGACAGGACCAGCTGGTGAGTTAGTGGCCCTGCAAATAGCAACTCTGGCCGGTTAAAGGAATCATGTGTCTTAGCTATGTGAACATGACTTTCCCAGATGAGAAGGGAGAGCCGCCATTAATGGAATCCTGGGTCATACCTTTACCCCAAGAGATGTCTAAGGACAGCCCCTGTGCCTCTTCTGTAGGCACCTTGAATGTTCTTTGGAACTTTGTGTAAATAAAGTTTCTTAGCGCACCCATGGCTTTTCTTGGAGAATCTTTTATCTTTTTCTTTTTTAGTTTTATTTATTTATTTATTTATTTATATTTACGGGTATGGGTGTTTTTGTCTGCATGTATCTGTCTGTGTGCCTTATGCATACCTGATACCCTCAGATGCCAGAAGAGGGTGTCAGATCCCCTGGAAATGGAGTTACAGATAGTTGTGAGCCACCATGTGAATTTGAACACCAGTCCTCTGGAAGAACAGCCAGCGCTCTTCACTGCTGAGCCACTTCTTAAGTCCCAGGATGATATGTCTTAATTTGCCTTTGAGAACAGTAGATGAAAGTACAGTTGCTGACCCCTTAGGGAAGGGCAAAACTACATCCTTGGCAATTCCTGCAAATGCTGGTCACAGAGTGAACTTACATAAACCAGTTTTACTGAGAGCCCCGTTATCTTATGAGTTGATGTAACTGGGAGAGTAGGCTTCTCCGTTTGCGACTTGAGCCTCCCAGGTACATCACCCCACAGACCATAAGTGTAAGTTTAAGAAGTGGGTTTCTTCCTTCTACTGGCAAGCAAATTTGTGCGGCTTCCGTTTTTCTCTTTATGCCATGGCTGCCGGGAAGCTTGGAGCAGCATTTCTAAGTCTTGCTACTTTAGCCTCCCTGTTCAGGAAATTTCTTGTCGTGTTCTGTGATTTTTGTCCTCCCCTTTGTCTTTGAGTGTCTTGCTCACAGTTTGATTCTGCAAAGGAAGATGCAGAAGTGACGGAATGAGTGCACATCATAAAGGAGCGTGTGTCAGATTGCTTACACAGACAGGCTGGGTACTCTAGTATGCTGTGCACGCTGGAGAGCCTGGGAACCCAGGCGCTGCTTAGTCCGTGAGGTTGGGTGTTTCGGCAGTTCTGACTGGGTGCTGAAGGCCTGAAGGACTCTTGGAGACCCCCTCCCTGGTCTTTATGTTAGAAGGCCAAAGAAGCCGGGTTCTGACACCAGTGAAGGGCGGCCACTGCAGCAGCAGAGTAGATGCACTCTCCAGTAGGGCACAGAGGCAGGCAGGCAAAAAGGAGCATTGGTTTTCATTTAGATCTCCTTCTATGGGCCCCCAGTGGAAGGGTCTATGGTAGGGGAGGGGGCAGCCTTTCTCCTTCAGTTGTTTCTTCTAGGAAATACCCTCTGTGCTAGTCAGGGTTACTGTTGCTGTGATGAAACACCTTGACTTAAAAGTAACTTGGGGGAAGAAAAGGTTTATTTAGAGTACATATCCTGATTTACAGTCCACGGAGGGAGGCCAAGACAGGAACTCAAACCAGGCAGGAACATGGAGGCAGGAGCTGATGCAGAGGCCATGGAGGAGGGCTGCTTAATGGCTTTCACCCCATGGTTTGCTCAGTCTTTCTTACAAAACCCACAATGGGCTGGGTCCTCCCATTAATGAAGAAAATTCCCTACAGTCCTATCTTATGGAAGTATTTTCTCAGTTGAAGTTCCCTTCCTCTGAGATGCCTATGGTTGCATCAACTTGACATTAAACTAGCCACATCCTTGCAGATACAATAAGGCGCTTGTCTCTTAGTTGATCCCAGGCCCAATCAAACTGACAATCAAAACTGGTGCATCTTGTGGAGAACAGTGAAGTAATTGTGAATTTAAGGAAATATAACCCTAGCTGTTTGAAAATATGGAGCATCTGCCTCTCCATAATGAATCTATTGTATCCAGAGAACCTGAAGCACAGAGGTTATGTTCAAATGTGTACAGACCCTCAGCTAATGAGTGGTTCATGTGTACCAGGACCCTGACTAGGCCCCCAGAGACTCAGTGACATAGCAGGCCCTGGCTTGCCTTTGTATCATTCTCTTAGCAGTTCATCTAGAAGCCCAGCAGCACAGAGCATCTAGCTGACACTTCACAGCACTTTCTGTGTGGACAGACCACAAACTTGTATTTTGCAACTCTTGTTGATGAATGCATGTGCTGCTCCAAGTCCTTTGTTCTAGAAGAGAAAAATCTTGGAGTCTTCTTCATGTGGACATAGAAATGACAGCATCATCTACATGGTAAGGTCCAGAAACAGCCTTGTGAGATCAAAGAATACACCTTTATCAAAGCCCCCAGGTGCTTTCCCCACTCATGACCCACCACGAGGTGGGTATCCTCCTGCATCCTGGACACACTGCAGACTTATGTGAGTTCCATTGCATCCTGAGCCCCGCTATTGGACCAGGTTCTAGGAGTGAATGTAATTAGGAGGGTTCACTGCTCAGTTTTTTCCTAGGGACCCCTCTCTTTCTATGGGAATCTATAGGCAAAAGATGAAAACATACTTTAAGCATTTTGCTTTGCTCATTTTGTTTTCACTTTTTAAACATGAAAAAAGGGCAAATGAAGGAAGAAAGAAAGGAAGGAAGAAAGGAAGGGAATAGCTCAGTGGACATTTGTACATTCATCACTAGACACGATTGTCATTAAAACCTCGTTCCTCTGCCATTCCTGTTTAACTGAGAGCAGGAGTACTTGGAGTAAATTATAGATACAGTATTTCTCAAACGAACTACTTCAGTGTGAGAGACGGTGGTGGTTTGAATGTAATTGGCCCCCATAATCTCACAGGGAGTGGCGCTATTAGGAGGTGTGGCTTTCTTGGAGGAAGTGCGTCACTGTGGGGGCGGGCTTTGAGGCTTCCTATGCTCAGGCTACCACCCAGTGTCTCAGTCAACTTCCTGATGCCTGCAAGATGTAGAACTCTCAGCTCCTCCTCCAGGACCATGTGTGCCAGCACTGCCATGCTCCTCATCATGATAATGGACTGAATTTCTGAAACTGTGAGCTACCACCTTCTAAGAGTTGTAAATGTTTCCTTCTAAGAGTTGCCATGGGCGGGGCGGTGGTGGCACAAGCCTTTAATCCCAGCACTCAGGAGGCAGAGGCAGAGGGATCCCTGTGAGTTGGAGGCCAGCCTGGTCTACAGAGCAAGTGCTAAGATAGGCTCCAAAACTACAGAGAAACCATGTCTAGAAAAACAAACAAAGAATGACAGTAAGAATTGTCATGGAAGCAGAGCGATGGTGGCACATGACTTTAATCTCAACACTTGGGAGGCAGAGGCAGCAAATCTCTGTGAGTTCAAGGCCAGCCTGGTCTACAAAGTGAGTTGCAGGACAGCTAGGGTTGTTTCACATAGAAACCCTGTCTCAAAAAAAACAAGACAAGAGCCTGGCATTGGTGGTGCACACCTTTAATCCCAGCACTCGAGAGGTAGAGGCAGGTGGATCTCTGTGAGTTTGAGACCAGCCTGGTCTACAAGAGCTAGTTCCAGTATTTCCTCACTATGCTCCCTTCCCTATGATTTGGAATGGTAATATATATCCTGTGCCATTATATGTTGGAAATATGTGATCTGCTTTTTGATTTTCCAGGAGATTGCACTTAAGAGATTGCATGAATCTCAGAAGAGACTTTGGGCTTTGAAACAAGTTTTGAACTCTTATAGACTATGGGGACTTTTGAAGTTGTACTAAATGCATTTGAATTATGATATTGTTTATAGGGGGCCAGGGAGTGGAATGAGGTAGTTTGTTGTGTTGGATGCTCAGTTCATGAGAGTCCCTGGAATAAACAGTCACTCTAGGATGATTTTTAGCCTTTATAGCCACAGGGGAAGTCAGCTTCTGGTGAACTGACTGTAGCTTTGCAAAAGGCTTTCATATCAAGTCAGTTTCCCCATACCTAAACCTCTTATCTGAAGCTCCCCAAAGAGACAAATGCCAAAGCAATTCTCAGCCACGTAACTTGTCAGTTTTTATTTTCCAGTTCTTCTGCAACCAAGTTTTGCATAGGCTTTGAAACTTTTAGGAAGCACTTAGGTAAGATTTACATACTTCACACAGAAGGCAGAGGACACAAAAGGCAGATCAAATCCAGGTGCTAACACTCTGGAATCAAACCAGCTGCAAGGCTCTTCAGGAACTACAGTAGCTTGAATGTAAGTGGCCTCCATAAACTCATAGGGAGTGGCACTATTAGGGGGTGTGGACTTGTTGGAGGAAGTGTGTCACCATTGGGGTGGGCTTTGAGGTCTCCTTGGCTCAAGTTACTTCCAGTGTGACAATCAAATTCCTGTTGCCTCCAAGATGTAGG